ATATATATATATGGAGAGAGAGAGAGAGATAGGAGGTAATACATCATAGATGCTTACTGTCAATGTGATGGTATATGGGCTCGTCACACATTTCCTATGCATCCATATACACATGCCTGCACATATTACCTAGGACTACATTTCTTCACTCAAGAGCATATTTGATCACTGTTTCATGTGAATGCTGATTTTTCACATCGTTTTTGTGAATCTCTTTACAATGTGGTTTCTCTGACATTTAAAAACTTTACTTAAATACATTTCAAACATTTAGATGTGTGTGACGCAGAAAATGCAATTGTTCTCTCAATCCCTCTCCCCACCCCCCAAGAAATACCCTGTTAATGGGTTCTACTTTTCTACATACACTGTTCAAATATGTATAATATAATTCACTTACAGATTTTAGCTCATCCGTTATCAGTTTCAAATGATATGTTTCATAATACAAACTGTTATTTCCCTAACAAATGCATGTATGCACAACTTTGTTCACACATACTCATAGGTATAATATGAACTGTATGGCGACTAACTCTACCTACTTTGGGCATAGCCTGCGCAAACTTTTTCTTGCCAGGGTGTATGATCATGCAGGTATTGCGTCCTCCGCTTCAGAGAACTCAGTGTGCTGGCTCTCAGAACACAGGTGTGATGTGAGGACACAGAACAAAAGGGAGAAGGAAAAACGGGTGATTCAGCCAACTGCAGTCTCCCTGCAGCAGGACCTGCCAGCCCCTCATACAGAACAGGGAGTGCCTGAGTCACCTCAACTCCAACCAGATAGCTACCCGTCCCCAAGACACACAAACACACACACTCACAGGAATATACACACACCCAGGGTGATGACGTCAGCGACCCAAGATGCCTGATATTGGTGCATATAATCCATGCTCTCTGCTCTACACACGCATGCAAATGTTTCTGCTTGCAGGGCAGAATGTTATTTGCGGCTCCTTTCGGTTCCTTATTTTGAAAATACACATGGAAAATCTAAAATGCTGTTTGAAATTATAAAGTAGGAAAAATGTGACGCATCAGTAACCTGACCACCTAGGAGGAACGTTGACTGCAAATATATGGGTCCATAGACTCCAGCATTTTTTATTCTGTTTATACGTATTTTCTTGAAGATATTAAAAAGGTTTTAAAGCCATACCCCACCTATTTGGATATTCTCTCCTATTCACATTTGTGTACACCTGTTCAACTATGAAACACTTTAATGGAGGAACTTTCAGCGGACAACCAAAATATCAGCGGCAGTTACTTTTCCGATTACCAAGGCAATGCATCCTTGAGAGAGGCAATCAGAAGGGAAGGGCGTTAAATGAAGATATTAAATCCCAAATGGCCTTCTCACCGTACGCTTTGGCCCGTTGTCCAAATGGCTTCCATTAAGGGTTGGTACATAAGGTTGCAGATGATTTCCTCTTTATCTTTCGTACTAACAAGAGCACAGCTCTCTTCTTTCCCTCTAAAGATGCATACAGGTGGATGTATAGACAGACAGAGGACAGAGGGATAGAGCTAATGATATGTAAATGTTGATCCTCTTTTGCACACCGGGAACAATGTATTAAAATGCCTTAAAAATAGAACCTTGAATGATACTAAAGTCACTTTTAAAGTAACCCCCAATCCTCAGAGGGCTTGGATATGAAAATGTATCTAGAATTTTAGTTTACAGTATCAAACAAGCCTGCCCATAAAATAAAATAATAAAATCAAATAAAACAAATAGAATAAATCCCAGGGACGCCTGGGTGGCTCGGTCAGTTAAGTGTCTGCCTTCGGCTCAGGTCATGATCCCAGGATCCTGGGATTGAGTCCTGCATCTGGGCTCCTAGCTCAGCGGGGAGCCTGCTTCTCCCTCTCCCTCTGCCCTCCCCCTGCTTGTGCGCGCGCACGCACACACGCACACACACACACACACACACACTCACTCTCTCTCTCTCTCCCTCTCACAAATAAATGAATAAAAATCTTTAAAAAAAAAAAACAAAAAACCCCAGAAGGGTTAGCTTCAACACCAGGACAGTGTGGGCTGATAGTAGTGTGAAAGCATATATTAAACAAAAACTTTTCCCAATGTATCCAAAGCGCGATGTCAATTTTTGTCTCTCAAGCTTTCTTTAAAATCTCAACACTAGAATGTAACCACGTGAGACCAGGACTTTTTATTTATCATATTCACTCTGATGTGTCCAATACCTAAAACAGTGCAAGAAACCTCGTCGGCGCTCAACAAGTATTTGCTGAATGGAATGGGTTAGGGCGATTCTCACCTTATTCTTAGGTGAAAATTCCATCTGACCCCAAGTTGTTCTGGTCTTGGTCACATAATAGCAATTTTAATTTTGTAATAAAATCTCAAGGCTCAATTTCGTCCTGAGGATGCCCAGTCTCAGGTAATAATTAAAATCCTAGCTTGGTGGGCGCCTGGGTGGCTCAGTCAGTTGGGCATCTGCCTTCGGCTCGGGTCGTGATCCCAGGAGCCTGGGATCGAGTCCTGCATTGGGCCCCCTGCTCAGCGGCGAGTCTGCTTCTCCCTCTCCTTCTGCCCCTTGCCCCCCTCCCCCGCTTGTGCTCTCTCTCTCTCTCTCTCTCTCTCTCTCAAATAAATAAATATTAAAACAAAAACCCAGAAGGGGAATGGTATAAATAGCAACTCTGCAATTTATAACTTCACAGTCAATTCCAGACCATC